TGGATACGAGAGGCCTGGAGGCAAAGGGAGGTTACGGATGGAGGCTGGTTAGTGGCGTGTCCAGCGCGTACGTTTACGGCTCGTTACAGTTCATGACCCATGGCGCAAAAACGATATCAAACGGTTCAAAGCGATTTGCAGTTTCAACCGTTTTTAACCGTGACACAACAAGTTCAACCGTACAGGATGAACTGTAAACGTACGCGGGCTTGGTGTGATGAATGGTGATACTGTATGATGGCCTGTTGAGAGCCGCGCGAAGTGGCAAATGGCAATGTCAAGGGAATGTGCGGCGTGACGCGGGAAATCTTGGTGGCAATCTCGACGGCAGCGCAGTGCTATTTTCCCTGGCGAAATCTCTGGCACACCTGATGACCTGCATGGAGAGCGGACACCGACACAATCACGACGGCTATGAGAAACCGGGTTTTGCAGGAATGCTGGACTGCTTTGTGATTCGACGAACTAGCTGGCTGGTTACAAAGGCTCTTATTTAAGGCGATCGACTGACGTGTCGAATCTGCCCCTCCGACCAAGGAAAGCAGTGTTCTAGGATTGGTTGATCTGACAGCTTGTCAGGAGGAACCTTGTGTCAGCTGGACAGCGCTGGTCTGAAATGTCAGATGTGGGGCGACGGGGCAGATATGTTGGATATCTGTGTAAGTCATCGTAATTCGTCCTTGTTCGCTGTTCGCGAACACAGACTCCTGCGAAGCATTTAAGTCCTGTATTTTACGAGTCACACAAAGCGCATTCAAAGCTGTGTGCAGACGGTATCCTAAAACGAATGGCTTTCAAGCGGGTTCCAGCCATGCTCCCTTTCTTTCTCGATTTGATCACTTCGTCAATACCGAGGAGGACCTCTACCACCTCCACCTTCCTCAGCAAATCCTGGCCATTTATTGGATCTAGATTCTAGAGCCATCATCACCCCCAACAGCTAGATCCACGGCTTGAGCCTGCTAAAATTCAGGCCCTACATTCAAAGCCTTGATTCCGCCATAAGTGGGGGTCGCTAAAGCTTTCTTCGGTGTTCCGTCTTCACTCTTGATCATACGAAGCGGCACTTATGCACGTTGCGGTTTCTGCTCGTTTGCGCGTGGTTTCACGTACCCTCCCCACAGATCGCTTGCGATCTGCTTTGAGAACAGGAGTAGATAGTAGACGCGTAGCGCTTCTGAGAAGTCGCTCTGGGAGTTTGACCGTTGCGAGGCGAGAGACAGGGCTTGGCTGTCACCGTTTGCTCTCAGCCGGATCGTTTCGTATGTGAGTGAACATTTGATCGTTTCGCCCTTTCAGCCGTTGATTCACCGGATACTCAGTAGTAAGCTTACTAGGTGTTCGCCCGTCCTGCTGTGGTGTTCCCAGGATCGCGTGATAATCTTAAGTCCCTTTTTGCCGTCAATTCCTGACGGTGCATGTCCGATACTGGTCTATCAGCGGTTTATTTACCGGCTGATGATCTTGTCCCGTCAATGGACATTGTAACGGCCCGACACTGTTAGATTATCCAGCCGTACTGCTGGCGCTTACGTTCGTGCTTGGTCACGATTTCCCAGCTGCGAAGTCTCAAACCGTCGCATTAGATTTGGAATTATATATCCGAATGCGATTTCAGAATGTCCGAATGTATCCAGATGCAAGGGTGCAAAACTGCGAACATTGCGGAGTGTCACCGCTACAAAAGACTCCGATGAACAAATTCTCGCACCCTTGCAACAGGATCTCCTGGTGCAAGCGTAGCGAACAGACAGGTCCTCCAGTGGTTACCATAGGGAATATCTGGAGGGTTGATCATTTCAGAGTTTGTCAGTTTCCAGATCCCCCCGAGGTTGGCTTTGTTTAATATTATACTGGAGAGTACGTCTATAGAAGTTCGCATTCGATTGTGTCATTATTTCTGAGAATTCTCAAAAGTTCGCATCGCTTGTGCCTACCGAGTACATCACTGCGCCGCTGGTATGAGACCAATGCCTGGTGTGGAGACCTCCTCATGCACCCAGTCTCCGGACCAGAGCTCTGGATACCACTGTGTCGCTCGTCAGAGCTCTGGATACCAACTGTGTCGCTTGTCAGAGCTCTAGCCATCTGGTCTCTTATCAGAAATCTGGTCTGGTATCTGTTACCCCTGCTGAATCATTGCTCTCAGCCGTTTACCTCGAGTTCTTAACCGTTCCTTGCCGCTGTCGCGCTGACACGAAACGTGCCCCTTGTTTTCCCTGTTTGGCTTCAGCTGCGGCGTGCCTGTCGCATCCGCGCCGACTCGGCTCAGCTCGCGACTCGAATCGTCGTCAACGGTCGCACGGGCCATGGCGACAGGCGCGGAGGGCGGCGGTCTTGATCGACCGCGCGGCGACGGTGGAGGAGGAGGAGTTGCTCGAGTCGTTTTTCGCTCATCGCCAGCATTGACAAGGCCTGGTGCCGCGTGTCGCCCGTCGGTGGGTGGAGATGGGCTGAGATGGTTGAGATGGGTTGAATGGGGTCCATATTGTTGAGACGGGTTGAGAAAGGGGGTTGGGAGCAAGAGAGGTGGAATAGGAGGAGGAGGAGTTGCTCGAGTCGTTCTCGCTCATCGCCCAGCATCGACAAGGCCTGGTGCCGAGGTGTCGCCCGTCGTGGTGTGGAAATGGGCTGAGATGGGTTGAGATGGGCCCATAAGGGTTGAGAAAGGGGGTTGGGAGCAAGAGGGGTGGGAAATGGAGGAGGAGCTTTTCGAGTCGTTCTCGCTCATCACCAGCATTGCCATGGCCTGGTGCCGCGTCTCGCCCGTCGGTGGGTGCTTGTGCAAATGGGTTGAGATGGGTGGAAAAGGGGTTGGGAAGAGGGGCGGCACTACAGGCCAGCTGCAGGACTCTAGTGCATCGACGCCTGCGCTCCCTCTCTTTCCCCGTACCCCTCCCTTCGTGCATCTGTGCCTCCCTGCTCTTCCCACCCCCAGCCCCCACATATCTCCCCTGCATGCCCGCAATAATTCAACGCATGCGGCACGGCAGGCTAGACTGCAGGACTCAAGGGCAAGGCCGCTGTCGCCCCCCCACTTTCTTGCCTCTCTCCCTCCCATTGTCTCCCCTGCATGGTCACATTGATGCGTCGCATGCGGCACGGCAGGCCAAACTGCAAAAACCCAAGGGCAAGGGCGCTTTCGCTCCCCCACCTTTCCCCTCACCCTTGCTCATCCTGCCTCTCTCCCTCCGTTGTCTCCCCTGCATGGTCACATTGATTCAATGCATGCGGCACTGCAGGCCAAAATGCAGGACCCAAGGGGCAACCGCGCTTTCGCCCCCCCACTTTCCCCTCACCTTGCTCATCCTGCCTCTCTCCCTCCCATTGTCTCCCCTGCATGGTCACATTGATTCAACGCATGCGGCACTGCAGGCCAAAATGCAGGACCCAAGGGCAAGGGTGCTCCAGGTGCGCCAATACCCCTCTTTTACCTCTCCCCCTCCTTCTGCCTCTCCCTCTCCTTCTCCCTCTCCCCGTCCGTCTCCCTCTCGCTCTCCCTCTCCCTCTCCCTCTCCTCTCTCTCCAACCTTTCTCCCCCTCCCACTCCCTCTCCTCTCCCTCTCCCCCCCTTTCTCCCCCTCCCACTCCCTCCCTCTCCCACTCTCTCATGCCCCTCTGGGTTCCCTATCTCTCGCCTAGTCATTTCCCTTCCCGTTCCGCGCACCTGCGTCCTGTGCTCAGTGCTTCTCACACGTTCAGTCTTGTAGACTAGTTGACTTTTGAGTCGACTCAAAAGTCAACACGTGCGTCCTGTGCTCAGTGCTTCTCACACGTTCAGTCTTGTAGACTAGTTGACTTTTTGAGTCGACTCAAAAGTCAACACGTGCGTCCTGTGCTCAGTGCTTCTCACACGTTCAGTCTTGTAGACTAGTTGACTGTTGAGTCGACTCAAAAGTCAACACGTGCGTCCTGTGCTCAGTGCTTCTCACACGTTCAGTCTTGTAGACTAGTTGACTGTTGAGTCGACTCAAAAGTCAACACGTGCGTCCTGTGCTCAGTGCTTCTCACACGTTCAGTCTTGTAGACTAGTTGACTTTTGAGTCGACTCAAAAGTCAACACGTGCGTCCTGTGCTCAGTGCTTCTCACACGTTCAGTCTTGTAGACTAGTTGACTTTTGAGTCGACTCAAAAGTCAACACGTGCGTCCTGTGCTCAGTGCTTCTCACACGTTCAATCTTGTAGTCTGGACAAATCAATCCCACAGGGCAAAGCCGGTCCAGACGTAACGGTGCAGATGAGTCAGAAGAATGCCATGCACAAACACCACTCAACCGTTTCCAACCCTACCCCACCCTGCTTCCACCCTCTCCTCGTCCCTCTCCCTCCCGCTGCCCCTGTTACTGGTCGCTTTCCGTGTCGTTTCTCTCTCATCATCTCAGACAAGGCAAGGTTGGAAGCGACGGTGCAGATGAGTCAGAAGAACCTGCCAGCCAACGCCATGCGCAAATACCTCTCAACCGTTTCCAATCCCACCCCACCCTGCTCTCCACCCTGCGCTCCACTCTCTCCTCATCCCTCCCCCTCCCCCTGCCCCTGCTCCTGGTCCTTTTCCCTGTCGTACCTCTCCCACCAACGCAGGCAAGGCGAGTCTAGACGTGACGGTGCAGGATGAGTCAGAAGAACCTGCCAGCCAACGCCATGCGCAAATACCTCTCAACCGTTTCCAATCCCACCCCACCCTGCTCTCCACCCTGCGCTCCACTCTCTCCTCATCCCTCCCCCTCCCCCTGCCCCTGCTCCTGGTCCTTTTCCCTGTCGTACCTCTCCCACCAACGCAGGCAAGGCGAGTCTAGACGTGACGGTGCAGATGAGTCAGAAGAACCTGCCAGCGAACGCCATGCGCAAATAACCTCTCCACCGTGCACGTGCCCGACCCCCAAGGCGACCTCTCCTCCTTCCACTGGTCGCCCTTCCCCACCGAGCTCACCGGTGTCACCCTCATTGCCCCCTCCCCCTCGGGGGGGAAGGCTGCTGGTGGTGCGCAATGGGGAGCCGGGCGTGGGGGGGAAGGAGGCCGGAGCGGTGAAGCTCGAGGTGTGGGGCGCGGGGCGGCTTCTGAGGGAGGTGCATGTGCCGGCTACTGTTCATGGGGGGGTGTACGCCGATGGATGGTGAGTTTGTGGTGTGGATGAGATGGTATATGGTTCGCATGGGTGGGGGAATGAGGATGGGTGGGGCCTTTTGCTGCCTATGCTTCAGTGGTTTCTGTCAGTCAGCGACTTGTTACAGTATACATATGTATAGGGTGTTTTTGAGAATTCTCAAAAACACCTGTCAGTCAGCGACTTGTTACAGTATACATATGTATACATTTGGCTTTGGAGGTGTGGGGCGCGGGGCGGCTGCTGAGGGAGGTGCATGTGCCGGCTACTGTTCATGGGGGGGTGTACGCCGATAGATGGTGAGTGGTATGGATGTGCTGGATATATATATATATATATATAATATATACATATATATATATATTTTGGGTTAGGTTTTAATAGGTTCTTTTTAGAATTATACAAAGGTGGCCATGTCTTTATGAACTCCTATCAGCCCCTTCCCATTCTGAAATTATATGATTTGTAGCAATGAAGTCAAAGTTTCACCATTCCCCCATCTTCCCTCTCCTGCTGCTCCTTCGTTCTCAGGTTTGAGGGTGTGTCTTGGAACGAGGACGAAACCTGTGTTGCCTACGTGGCAAAAGAGCCTGCCTTCACTGCTGCTTCATCTAGACCAACATTCCACTGCCCTCCTTCCTCCCTCCACTGCTGCTCCGTGACTCCCTCTCCCTTCTCTCTCTCTATCTCCCCTGTCTCAGGTTTGAGGGTGTGTCATGGAATGAGGACGAAACCTGTGTTGCCTACGTGGCAGAAGAGCCTGCCCCACCCAAGCCTGTCTTCGGCCAGCCTCGGCAGCCTGCTGCCACGTCAGCCGCCCAGCACCCCCCTGCCGCACCTGCCGGCCCGGCTCGGGGCAGGTTCGGAGCTGCAGCTGCAGCGGCGCCAGCTCCGGTGGGAGGTGCGGGGAAGGGGAAGAACGGGGCAGCGGAGGCAGGGACGTGGAAGGGCAAGGGGGAGTGGATGGAGGACTGGGGTGAGAGATACGCGGGGGAAGCCTCGGCCTCTGCTGTTTGTTCTCAACACTGTCAGGTGCGTTAAGGTGGTGTTTTCTTATAGGCGGTTCAAGAGGGCAAGGGGGAGTGGATGGAGGACTGGGGTGAGAGATATGCAGGGAAGCAGCGGCCTCTGCTGTTTGTTCTCAACACTGTCAGGTGTGTTACGGGGTGTAGTGTATGTGCAGTGTCAAGTCAAGTGCGTAAAGCGGTGACTTATTAGGCGTTTCAAGAAGAGGAAGGGGGAGAGGATGAAGGAGTGGGGAGAGAGACACGTGGGGAAGCGGTGGCCTCTGGTGTTATTTCTCAACACTGTCACGTGCGTAAAGGGGGTGTCGTGGTAAACGCGAGCGGTTGGATCTCGAAGCTGCTCTTCGTGGGCTGGTCCGCCTTCCCTCTCACCGTCTCTCACCGTCTCTCACCATCTGTCACCACGCTGTACCACTCTGTACCGCTTTGCACCGCTCTGTATCCCTCTCTCTGTCTCTCCCAGTGGCACACTGCAGGCGGTAGAGGGCATTCCGGGGGACATCAGTGCGGGGCAGGTGGTGTGGGCGCCGACAGTGGAGGGGCAGCAGCACACGCTGTTCTTCGTCGGCTGGTCCTGCTTCTCCTCTCACTGTCTCTCACCTTTTCTTACTGCTCTGTACCGCTCTGTGCCGCTCTCTCCCCCTGCAGTGGTACAGTGCAGGCAGTGGAGGGCATCCCAGGGGACATCAGTGCGGGGCAGGTGGTGTGGGCGCCAGCAGTGGAGGGGCAGCAGCACACGCTGCTCTTTGTTGGCTGGTCCGCCTTCCCTTCCAACTTCAACACGGCCCGCCGCCTTGGCATTGTCTATTGCGCCAACCGCCCCTGCCACCTGTTTGCTGCTCAAGCGCCCTCCCAAGACCCTGCTGGGTGAGTGAATGCTTCTGTTTGTATGGGTTGGGTTGGGTCATATGCACTGCCCCTGCCCTTCCTTTGCTTCCAACTTCAACACGGCCCGCTGCCTTGGCATTGTCTATTGTGCCAACCGCCCCTGCCACCTGTTTGCCGCCCAAGCGCCCTCCCAAGACCCTGCCGGGTGAGTGAAGGCTTCTGTTCTGTATGGTTGGGTTGGGTTGGGTTGGATTGGATTGGGTTGGGTCATATGCACTGTGCTTCTGTTCTGTATGGGTTGGGTTGGATTGGCTTGGGTTGGGTTGCATGCACCGCTACTGCCCTTCCTTCCCCTCCAACTTCAACACGGCGTGCCGCCTTGGGATTGTGTGCTGCGCCAACCGCCCCTGCCACCTGTTTGCTGCTGCCATCAGCAGTCGTTGCATCATAGCTTGCTTTGTGCCGAGTTTCCACTTGGCTCTTCTTTTTTGGCCGTCTGTCTGTCTCTACCTGCCCTTACAGGAAGAAGCCAGGCAGTGGCAGCAGCATTGTGAAGCTCACTGCCGGAATCAGCAGCGCCTTCTCACCCCGCTTCAGGTACCCTCTCATAGATTTCCTCGTTCAAAGGCGTCTAATTATGCTGCTGACAGCAACCATAGTCCCTTCTCAGCTGTTTGCTGTTGATTTCCTCGTTTCCTCTCCCGTTTGTGTGAGGCCTGCAAATTTGAACCAGCAACAACACGCAGGAGCAAACAGGCACCTGTTTGCTTTCCCGTTTGTGTGATGCCTGCAAGTTTGCACCAGCACACACGCAACCAGCAGCTCTACTTTCCTTTCTGTTCGCCCGCCCACCCCTTGCCAAGTTCACACTTTCTTCGTCCCTTGTCCTTCACCCTCACCCCTTCAGCCACAACCGCTGCCTGCCGATGTTCCTCTCATCGCACGCAGCAGTGCATAGCCACAACCAACCCTATCTATCCCCCGTCCATCCCTGCAATGCAATCTTCTCCCTGCCTGGCCCACCCCCATCTCCTCAGCCCTGACGGCTCTCTGCTGATGTTCCTCTCATCGCACGCAGCAGTGCAAAGCCACAACCAACCTTATCTATCCCCCGCCCATCCCTGCAATGCTACCTGCTCCCTGTTTGCCCCAATCTCTTCCTTCAGCCCTGACGGCTCTCTACTGGTCTTCCTCTCATTGCATGCAGCAGTGGTCAGCAGCACACACGGTGCCACCTACTCTGTCTTCCTCTCCTTCCCCCCATCCACCCCTTGCTCTGTGCTCGCGTCTCCTCCCTCTCTTCTCCTCTTTCAGCCCTGACGGCTCTCTGCTGGTCTTCCTCTCATCGCATGCAGCAATGCGCAGCGGCACTCACATCCCCACCAACCCTGTGTTTTCCACCCAACCACACCTTCTACGTCCTCCTGTCTCCCGTCCCTTCCCTCCCTTCAGCCCTGACGGCTCTCTGCTGGTCTTCCTCTCCTCGCACGCAGCAGTGGACAGCGGCACTCACGGCGCCACCAACTCGCTGCACTCGCTGCTCTGGCCCAAGGAGGGCATCTCCTTCCCCCACGCCCCTCCTGCCGACCCTGAAGAAGACACCCGATCTGGGCCGTCTGACGTCCCCGCTATAGACATCCCCATCAACAGCATAGTGAGTGTCCGCTTGCAGGTGCTGTTTGGTATGGTGACGTGCTGAGGTGCTGCCTGCCAACTCGCTGCTGTGGTCCAAGGAAAGCTTCCCTTCCCTCACGCCCCTCATCTGTTCTGAGGAGGGCAGTATAGTGAGTGTTCGCTGTCGGGTTGCTTGGTAAATGGGGTGTTCCCAACTCGCTGCACTCGCTGCTCTGCTCCAAGGAGGGCATCTCCTTCCCCCACGCCCCCCCTGCCGACCCTGAGGAGGAGTCTCGCTCGGGGCTTTCCAATGTCCCCGCTATAGACATCCCTATTAACAGCAGAGTGAGTGTCCGCTTTCAGGCTGTTCATTCCGCTGGCAGGCTGCTGATTGGTATGGTGAGGTGCTGTCCAAGTCTAGGTGTTGCCAACTCGCTGCACTCCCTGCTCTAGCCCGAGGGAATCTCCTTCTCTCATCACACGCGTCAGGCTGCTTGGTAAATGGGGCGCCCCTCTTGCGATCCTGAGGAGGATACTCGCTCGGGGCCTTCCGACGTCCCCGCTATAGACATCCTCATCAACAGCATAGTGAGTGTCCGCTGACAGGCTGCTCATTCTGCTGTCAGGCTGCTGGTTGTTACAATGAGGTGCTACCAACTCGCTGCACTCCCTTCTCTGGCCCAAGGCTTGGATGCAACAATGAGGCATTGAGGCTTATCAAACTCCTGCTTGTCGTAATAAGATGCCAGCCCGTTACCCCTGTGTTAGTGGGTGCAGATCAGTGCGGTGGCAAGGGTTTTTCATGCGTCTCGAAAGTTACCTTTTCACCCTTGCATTGACACCCCTACTCTGAACCTTCAATTCTAAACCTTAAACCTTGACTGTACCTGGGTGCAGATCAGTGTGGTGGCGAGGGCGGAGGAGCAGGGGGGGTTCCCAGGCCTGTATGCTGCTGGAGCCATCGCCAACTCGTGGCTGGCCTGGCGGATGGGCACCTTATTGAATCCCCATGCGTCCCTGGCAATCCATGCCTGTTGCCCCGTGCTCATGCTAAGTTGGAATATACGCGTTTAGCGTTTTGTACGCTTGCTGTATAAACGCTAGAGTATATACGCAAACCGCAGTCCCTGAGGGGTCTAGTACGCACAAGAATCCGCTTGCTCGGGCAGGAAAAAAGTTTTCCCCAGGCAGATTTTTGGGGTAAGAGGTGGGGATGGGGGGGTGTTGTAACCCCCATCCCCTTTGTATTAATATGAAAGTTACAGGAAAAAAAAAACCCTTAAAACTAATCTGCCGCTACAACTTCACCCACCTTAATCATGCTACTACCCCCCCATCCCCTACTCTACTCAGGTCCACCCTCCATCCCCCGCCTGCCGCTCATGCATGGAGTCTTCCATCCACTAGTACTCATCTGCCATCACATCATCCTCCCCCTCCTCAGGTTCCTCCACCTCCTCCGGGACGTTATAGCCGGCCGGAGTGGGGGGGTCCTCGATGTTTCCCTTCACCACCCCCAGCCCTTCAGGGGCCTTGTGCCAGTTGTGCACCACCTGCCAATTGTGCGTCACATACACCAGGTCACGAAGCTTCACCGCGCCGAGGCGGTTCCTCCTTGCCGTATGCACTGCATCAAACTTCGCCCAGTTACGCTCACATGGAGACGCGGACACCGGCTGCGTGATGGCGCGGCAAGCCATGGTGGTGAGCTCAGGATGATCGGTCCCGTGCCATGTCCACCAGTCCACCGCCGTCATCTTGCCCTCCTTCACTGCCTGGCGGTCGGCAATAGCGTCGGGCATGCCGAAGCTGCCTTGGAGGTTCAGGAAGGCATTGAGGCCTTCCTGGATGACGAGAGAGGCGCGGCGCTCGACCCCGTCCTTCCTGGTGACCGTCTTGTCACCATGGTGCTTGGAGACGTACTGCTTGAAGACCCTTGTGCACTCCAGGTCGGTGCGGAAAATGCACTCTTCCTGGTTGGTGGGGTAGAGGATGCGGCCAATCACGTGCAGGTTGCACGCCAGCCCGTTGTCCCAGCGGTCCTGCACAATCTCCCGAATATCCCCCACCTCGTCGCTTGTCAGGACCCCTTCCGCATGCTCGTCGAGGAAGTCGCGGATGTCCTCGGTGAGCTGGAGCATGAGGTCGTAGAGACGACCCATCATGCCCTTCGAATCCGAGTCAGTCTTGCGCATGACGACGAATGGCAGCCTCATCAGCTTAGCGAAGAACTCGGCGCGCGTCCACCACGCGGCATCGAGGATGTTGTCTTTGAATGTGTCTGCCCCAGCCCTGTCTGCAGCCGCAGTCCACTCGACCCACTCATCGCTAAGGACCATCTGCGTCAGGCCGGCGCGCACTTCACAGAGGCGGTTGATGGCGATGTAGTTGGTGCCGAATCGGGTTCCCGCGGGCTTGAGAACCTGTTTCCCCTTGCCGCCGTTCACGAGCGGACTCCGCATGTATCCCCGGGTGAAGTGATGGTTGCGGACGAACGAGATGAGGGTGTCCCCCGCGCGTGACGATGTCCTTCGCCCATCCCTTTTTCCCGATGTCCTCCATCAGGAGATCGAGGACATGGGTCGCGCAAGGGATGTGTTCAATGTGGGGATACTCGCGCATCAACACCCTGCATGCCGCCGCGTAGTTGGAGCCGCCGTCAAAACACAAGGCGACGACATTCTCGGGGCCGACCTTTTCGATGATGGGCCGCAAGATGCCCGCGATGTAGCCCCCGGTCTTCATCTCCATCTTCGTGTCGATCGACTCCACAAACACCGCACCGCTATCGTTGATGAGGAGCACGTTGGCTTGCGGGCGGCCGGCCTTGTCGGAGAACATGTCGCTTGCTACGGTGACACCGTCACGGCGCCAGCTTGCTGAGATAGGAGCGAGCGCCGCCTCAATGCGCTGGCGACACTTTGCAAGATCGGCGCCACCGATGTAGCGTCTCTTCGGCGCGACGTAATTCGGCCCCGCGCGCTGGATGCTGGAGACCACATTCCGCCACAGTGGGTGGTCCGCGTGATGCTCCGGCACATGAAGAGCGGCAAAGAAGAGGCTTATGGCCTCGTCCGCAGCTTGGTTCGCGCACGCGGCGTCGTCGCCGTAGAAGTCGGTCATCCGACTCTTCTTCTTGTCCGAACCTCTGCCGTTGACTGCGCCGACCGCCGCAATTTCAGCCGCACGCTTCGCTTCACGGGCCTTCAACTTGGACTCGTAAAGCGCCTTCACGACGTCACGTGCAGTCTTCGGCGCTGCAGTGCAGAGATGCACTTCGCGACAGCGCATGCCGTTACAGCTGGTGATATGCTGCGCGCAACGGTGAACCCCGCCAACAAACGTGAAGTTGCAGTAGGCACACACCTTGGTGCCGTTCTCGCCAACGCTATTGGCCGGCACCTTGAAGTGACGGTAGACTGCGTGCTTGTTGTCCATGCAGACCAAAGACGTACTAGAAGAGGTCCCACCAGCGGAACTACCAGGAGACTCTGAGGGTGGCGTACGAGAAGTGGTTGCTGTAGGAGTGGAAGCCATGGTGGCTTGGGAAAGGAGATAGCTAGAATAGGAAGCGAGAGAATGAATGTTGAGGGAACAAACGCCTCTCTTTATGCCTGGGAGATTGGGTTGGGTTGAGCTCCCAACCAGTAAAGTAGCACTTGGAGGGGATGGTGGAATGCTGTGGTTCAAAGGGGTGTGAAACGTTTGAGGGGAGGGGTTGATGAGGTTTGGTGCTCGAAACTCAAATTTTGAGTTCATTTCGCGACATTTGCGACTCGGAATTGAGATCGCCACGTCGCGAGCTTCAGATTGAAATTTTGTTTTTTTTTCGGTCTGCCCGAAATTCAACTCGGCGAATTTTCAAACTATACGCAACGTACGAGTTCGACAAGCGTATAAACGCAAAACGCAAAATGAAAGTAGCGTATATTCCAACTTAGTGCTCATGTTCCTGTCTGCAGATCAGTGTGGTGGCGAGGGCGGAGGAGCAGGGGGGCTTCCCAGGGCTGTACGCTGCTGGAGCGATAGCCAACCCGTGGCTGGCGGATGGGCGCACGCTGCTGCTCACCACGGCTTGGAGGAGCACACAAGCGATCATCTCCGTGCATGTGGAGAGGTGAGGCGTGCTTGTGGTTTGGGCTGTGGGTGGTTCATGTGGGTGGTTCATGTGTGTGTGTTACCTGTGCGTCTGGTAGCTGGCGGATGGGCGCACACTGCTGCTCACCACGGCTTGGAGGAGCACCCAGGCTATCATCGCCGTGCGCGTGGAGAGGTGAGGTGGCTATGCAAACATGCACGTGTGTATGCTTGTAACCCGTGGCTGGCGGATGGGCGCACGCTGCTGCTCACCACAGCGTGGCGCAGCACCCAGGTAATCATCTCCGTGCGCGTGGAGAGGTGAGGTTGTAGCAATTGAGATGCTTTTCTGTATGCATGTAGCTGCATGTATTCAACCTGTGGCTGGCGGATGGGCGCACGCTGCTGCTCACTACAGCTTGGTTGGAGGAGCACCCAGGCTATCATCTCCGTTCATGTGGAGAGGTGAGGTGGGAGGGGTGGGGCTGTGGATACGTGAGGTGGCTGTACATACATGCACGTATGTATGCTACTAACCCGTGGCTGGCTGATGGGCGTACGCTGCTGCTCACCACGACTTGGAGGAGCACCCAGGCGATCATCTCCGTGCATGTGGAGAGGTGCGGTGCGGCTGCTTGTGGTTGTGGTTGTGGGCGCTGTATGTGTGTTTGTAATTTCTCGGTTTTGTGGCTGGAAGATGGGCGCACGCTGCTGCTCACCACGGCTTGGAGGAGCACCCAGGCTATCATCTCCATGCACGTGGAGAGGTGAGGTGCATGTAGAGGTGGGTGTTGTTTGTTGTGTGTGTGTGTGTGCATGTGCCTAGTGGCTGGGCAATGGCAATAGGGGCAAGCATACAGACTTTCAGTGGCCGGGTGTCATGGGTTGTTAACCCCTCTCTCTGAGACAGAGAAACACGCACGCACCTACCTTACCCTATCCTCCCCATCCCTGCTCCGCCTGCAGTGGCCGAGTGTCCCGGCTGACCCCTGAGGGCCCCATCTCGTGGGTGCTGCTGGATGTGCGGAACAATGTGGTGGTGGCGGGTGAGTTGGGGGGGGGGCAGGGAGGGGGGTGGGGAGGGGGGTAGGGGAGGGGGGGAGGGGGGAAGGATGGTGCATGCACACAGAAGGACGAAAAGAAGGTTGTCAAGGTGCGGAATCCCATCTCGTGGGTGCTGCTGGATGTGCGGAACAATGTGGTGGTGGCGGGTGAGTGAGGGAGTGAGGGATTGAGTGAGGGAATGAGTGAGGGAGTGAGGGAATGAGTGATGGAGTGAGAATGTGAGTGAATGGAACACACAGACAGAGGGAGGTAAAGAAGGTGAATAAGGGCGTGGCCCATCTCGTGGGTGCTGCTAGATGTGCTGAACAGCGTGGTGGTGGCGGGTGATCAAGGAAAGGAGTGGGTGAGGGAGGGGGGGTGTGAGTGAGGGAGTGATTGAGTGAGGGAGGGAGGAAGTGATAGAGTGACGGAGGGGGCGGGAAAGGTGGATTACACTCTTCATCTGTCTATTACATGCTTACGGACCGTCCACATATCTAACCCTTCGGGCCTTCGCCCCTTCCCTCACCACCACTCCAAGTCTTTCCTTCACCCCACCTTGAATGGATTGTTTTTCCCCTCGTTGACCCTGCCACCCTATGTTCCGCTCACTCTCGTCCCATCCTTGTTACCAACTCACATATGCCATTGCAGGCGCAAGCACGCCAGTGTGCCCGGCAAAGCTCATGCTGGGGCGGGTGAATGCGGGGTGGCTCGAGCAGAGGCTGTTCCCGCACACCACCACTACCATCTTCTCCCCATCTCTTCCTCGTTCTTGCCATTCCCGTTATTGTCTCTGTCTTTCCTGGCTGCCAGGCGCCAGCACCCCAGCGTGCCCCACAAAGCTCATGCTGGGGCGGGTGAATGCAGGGTGGCTCAAGCAGGAGGGGTGGTTGTGGTCCGAGATCTCCCCTCCGCATGTCGAGTATGCCGATGCGGTGAGTGTTGACTGTTGGGACAATGTGTACTGTGTGTTGTTCAAGCAGTGACATCGAATTGCATGTCGCGTGCTGTGTTTTGTGTACTGTGTGTTGTGCAAGGTCATGTTGTTGAACAGTTCACATGCGATGCGATGCCACTGCTTGCAGACGAGAGCATGTTTCTGCTGGCCATGGCCTCGAGGTGACTTTTGAGTAAAGTCACCATGGCCACGAGGTGACATTTGAGTAAAGTCACCATGGCCACGAGTTGACTTTTGAGTAAAGTCACCATGGCCACGAGGTGACATTTGAGTAAAGTCACCATGGCCACGAGGTGACATTTGATTAAAGTCACCATGGCCACGAGGTGACATTTGAGTAAAGTCACCATGGCCACGAGGTGACATTTGAGTAAAGTCACCATGGCCACGAGGTGACTTTTGAGTCGACTCAAAAGTCACCATGGCCACGTGTAAAGAGTGGATTTTTCAGACGTCTAAAGAATCCACTCTTTACACGTGGATCGAGCAAGGAGATACAGGTGGTGAGAAAGTAGGTTGTTAGGTAGCCGTTGAATCTGCGATTTGAATGACAGCGCAAATGGAGAAATAGAGTGTGATGTGTTGTGCTGCTGCCTGCACTGTCCCTGTCACGTGGCAAACGCACTCAAGTCAACGGAGTTTGAGGTCATTTTCATTGTACCTTCCCCTCACGCTCTCCCACCAAACGGTGCTACGTGTGCTTGCAGCTCAATCGCCTGTGCTGCCTGCCCCTCTCCCCCCACCCAGGTGGAGAATGCACTCAAGTCAACAGAGTTTGAGGTCATCCCCATTGTACCGTCTGTCTCCAAGACTCAGGGTCTCACTGAAGGTGCGTGGGAGGGAGGGATTGATTGAGAAAGTGGGGGGGGAGGAAAGCATGCAAGCACTACTCTGTGGTTTACATAGAATTACGAAGTCCTGCAAAGAAGATGCATATGCGGGGAAGATTTACAGGAATGAGGTGACTTTTGAGTCGACTCAAAAAACACCTGCATATGCGGGGAATATTTACAGGAATGGGGCATAGATGCTGCTGTCTACATGAGCGTGCGCATGGGAATGGGTCTGGCCATGGTCATGGATGGGCATGGGCATGAGCATGGGCATGGGCATGGGCATGAGCATGAACATGGGCATGGGTATGAGCATGGGCATGGGCATGGGCATGGGTATGAGCATGAGCATGGGCATGGGTATGAGCATGAGCATGAGCATGGGCATGAGCATGAGCATGGGCATGAGCATGGGCATGAGCACGGGCATGAGCATGGGCATGGGCATGGGCATGGGCATGGGCATGGGCATGGGCATGGGCATGGGCATGAGCATGGGCATGGGCATGGGCATGGGTATGAGCATGAGCATGGGCATGGGTATGAGCATGAGCATGGGCATGGGTATGAGCATGAGCATGAGCATGGGCATGGGTATGAGCATGAGCATGCATGAGCATGGGCATGGGTATGAGCATGAGCATGAGCATGGGCATGGGTATGAGCATGAGCATGGGCATGGGTATGAGCATGAGCATGAGCATGGGCATGGGCATGAGCATGAGCAAGCTGCCACCATTCATCCTGCCATTCCAACAGCCACATTCTTGCCACCCGCTGCCTCCCAATCCTTCCTCCTCTCCCTTTCCCTCCCCACCTCTTCCCTACTCCACTCCAGGCGCCAAGCAGCCGTTTGAAGCCATTTTCGTGAGAAGACAGCCCGAAGCCGCTGCTGCTCCCCCACCGGCTGGGAGCAAAGTAGCACCTGCCCCAGCTGCTCCTGCTGCGCTGCCCCCGCTGCTGGTGGTGCCGCATGGGGGCCCCCACGGCGTCAGCACGACCAACTTCGTGATGCCCTATGCGTACCTGTGCGCCCTGGGCTACGCTGTTCTTCATGTTAACTACAGGTGAGTTGGGTGTGGGTCTAAAGGCTGGGTCCCTATGGGGATGGGTCAAATCACCCCCCCCCCCAACACACTGTGTCAGCACGACCAACTTCGTGATGCCCTACACGTACCTGTGCGCCCTGGGACATGCCGGGCTGCATGTGAACTACATGAGAAAGTGGGTGATGGAATGGGTCACTGTGCTTGTAAAGAAGGACTATCACAGGCAGGCACAGCGCTATGCGCACCTGTGCGCCCTGGGATATGCCGTGCTTCATGTGAACTACGGGTGAGCAGGGTGTGGGTTCAAGGGGTGGGTTCCCTGTGGGGCTGGTACGCCCCCCTTTCCACAGGGTCAACACCACCTATTCCGTGATGCCCTATGCGCACCTTCGTGCTTTGGGATACGCCGTCCTTTTTAGGCACCTCAAAATACACCTCACTACACGCGGATGCCCTATGCGTACCTTTGTGCCTTGGGATACGCTGTCTTTCGAGGCGCCTCAAAAAAAACTTGCGGGTAATGAGACGACTTTTGAGGCGCCTCAAATGCCCTATGCATACCTTGGTGCCTTGGGATACCCCGTGCTTCACATGAGGGAGGAGGGGAGGGGAGAGGGGAGGAGACTGCAACCATGATGCAAGGAAGCCATGACGTGATGTCATGAAGCCATGAAGCCATGAAGCCATGAAGCCATGAAGCCATGAAGCCATGAAGCCATGAAGCCATGAAGCCATGAAGCCATAAGCCATGAAACCATGAAGCCATGATGCCATGAAGCCATGAAGCCATGAAGCCATGAAGCCATGAAGCCATGAAGCCATGACACCGTGACATCATGATGTTCTCTTGTCGTCTCCTCTTCCTTGTGATTCGTCATTGCGCTCTTGTGTCTGCAGGGGCTCGCTTGGGTTTGGAGAGGAGGCGCTGCAGTCCCTTCCGAAACACATTGGGCGGCAGGTGAGCCGAATTGGGCGGCAGGTGAACCGAATTGGTTGGCAAGAGAGCCAGATGTGACGGCATGTGAGCAGGATGGTAGTACGAGGCATGCAGATTTATCAGCATTGCTGTGATTGGCTGCTCATTGCTTCTTGCGCTGCTGCAATTGGCTGCTCAATGCTTCATGCACTGCTGTGATTGGTCATTTGGGTGCCCAATCAATGACTTCCAGCATCTCCTCTGCTCGGCTCGCTGTCTCAGTCAATGACTCCCAGTCTTCCTCCCCCATCATGTGTAGAGAGGGTGTTTTTGAGACGTGGCCTGCTCAGCTCAATAACACCCTCTCAAACACACCCTCTCAAACACACCTTCTAAAAAACGCCCCCTCTGCACGTGGCCTGCTCGGCTCGCTGTCTCAGTCAATGACTCCCAACCCCCCTCCCCCATCATGGTGCGCTGGAGGCAATTGATCAGGTGGTGGAGCTGGGATACGTGGTGTTGGGAGCTCCTTTATCCACCTCCACGCCACGCTTCCGCCCCTCCTTCCCCCCCTCTCTCTCCACTTCCCCCTCCCCTTCTCCAACCAGGCATGTGGCTGACGCGTTGGAGGCAATTGATCAGGTGGTGGATCTGGGGCATGTGGCGTTGGCCGCTCTTCCAATCCAACCACCTCCACACCTTATGAGGCGCTGCAAAAACAGAGACGACTTCTGAGGCGCCTCAAAAGTCAGGTGGTGGACCTGGGGCATGTGGTGTTGGCCGCTCTTCAAATCCAACCACCTCCACGATTCCTCCTCCTCGTCCCCCTCCCCCTCCCCCTCCCCCATCAGGACGTGGCTGACGTGTTGGAGGCAATCGATCGGGTGGTGGAGCTGGGATACGTGGACGCTTCCCGCATGGCTGTGATTGGTGGATCGCACGGTGGCTTCCTTGCCGGGCACCTTATCGGGCAGGTGAAAAACAGTGGGAAGGTGGGATGGAGTTGAGGGAAGTGAGTCGAGCTGGTAACCGGATCACTGTCAAAGTGAAACCAGGTTACCAACCTGACGAGCATGGTTAGCACCTTTTTGGATTTTCAAGAGTGATGCGTGTGCAGCATAACCTACCTAGTGAGTATGGTTACCAACTTACCACCTATCACTGGCATCCCTGTCTGGTGCTCTATTTTGAGACGTCTCAAAATAATTCTTCATACACATAACCTACCTAGTGAGTATGGCTACCACCTATCACTGGCATCCCTGTCTGGTCACTGGCATCCCTGTCTGGTCACTGGTCACTGGCATCCCTGTGGGACTTTCAAAAGTTTCTGACTTAGTGAGTATGGCTACCACCTATCACTGGCATCCGTGTCTGGTGCTCTTACTCCTCTCAACTCCCCATTTTCCCCATCCATCCCCCTTACCAGGAGCCCGATCGTTTCCGCACGGCCGTGCTCCGTAACCCGGTTACCAACCTCGCCAGCATGGTCGGCACCACCGACATCCCTGATTGGTGCTTCGTGGAGGCCTTCGGCCAGCCTGGCATGGCCGCCTTCTCTGATTCGCCCACTGCCGCTGAGCTCCAGACCTTCCTGAAAGCCTCTCCCATCACCTATGCATCGAAGGTACGCTTCTACTCTCTCCTCTCTCCTCTCCTCTCCTCTCTCCTCCCTCTCCTCTTCACTTCTCCTCTCTATCCTCGTCTTGTCCCCTTCACAAGTCACACTAGCATGGCAGCCTTTGTGGGGGCCTTCTCTTATTCGAAGCAAGGTACCAGCTCTGTTCATCCCTGGCAGAGAGGGAGTGCAGAATGCTGCTGAAACCTTCAAGGTGACTCTTGAGTCGACTCTTGAGGTGACTCTTGAGTCGACTCTTGAGGTGACTTTTGAGTCGACTCAGAAGCAAGGTACCAGCTCTGTTCATCTCTTGCAGGCAGGGACTGCAGAATGCCGCTGAAACCTTCAAGTCTCCCAAACACATCCCTCTCCTCTGCTCTCTTATCCTCGTCTCCTTTCTTCCCCCTCGTGCAGGTGAAGGTGCCGACTCTGTTCGTCCTAGGAGGGAAGGATCTGCGCGTGCCCTCTTCAAACGGGCTGCAGGTGAGTCGTCTGGAGCTGTCGGTGGGAAACAGGTGGGCTGCGGAGGTCTGCGCGTGCCCTCTTCGAACGGGCTGCCGGTGAGTCGCCTGGAAAAGAATCAGCCATGCTTGTGTTCGAAAGGGCTCATCCAGCCAGCTGTGTACTTTTCGAGTTGACTCAAAAAAACAGTTTCGAGTCGACTCAAAAAAACAGTTTCGAGTCGACTCAAAAAAACAGTTTCGAGTCGACTCAAAAAACAGTTTCGAGTCGACTCGAAAACAGGGCTCATGCAGCTGTGTGATTTGGTGCATGTGCTTCGAGTTGCCATATCACATGTGCTCGAAAAATCATCTTGGTGCATGTGCTGCAAGCAACGGCTGGAAGCTCGAGACTTCTTCACATCTCTTGTCTGTCCCACCCCTCCGGAGGGTCGAGTTACCTCTGAGTCAACCTTAGAAGTCACCTTCCTTCTCGCCTGCTACTTTCCTCTCCTCCCCTCCCCCCCTCCCCTCCTCCCCTCCTCCCCTCCTCTCCTCCTCCCCTCCTCCCCTCCTCCCCCCCTCCCCCCTCCTCCTCTCCTCCCCTCCTCGCCTCCTCCCTCTCTGCCCCGGTTGGTGCATGCGCTGTGGGCGCAAAGGCTGGAGGCTCGAGTGTTCAAGGTCTTGCCTGCCCAAACCCTTACCCCTGTCCCTTCCCTCTTCTCTCCCTCCCCTTCTCTTCACTTGTGTGAACTACAGCTGGTGCATGTGCTGTGTGCGCAAGGGCTGGAGGCTAGAGTGACTTGTGAGTTGGCTTTAATACTATCTCCCTTTCCCCGTTCCCGTTTCCGTTTCCTCCGCTCCCTCCTGTCCGCGCTACAGCTGGTGCATGCGCTGCGGGCGCAAGGGCTGGAAGCTAGAGTGCTCATGATGCCCGAAGATGTTCACGCCATTGATAAGTGAGTGATGGGTGGCTGATAAGTGAGTGATGGGCTAGTGATAAGTGGGTGATGGGCCATTGGTAAGTGAGTGATGGGGCATTGATAAGTGAGTGATGGGCCATTGATAAGTGAGTGATGGGCAGTTGATAAGTGAGTGATGGGCGAGTGATGCGTGAGTGATGGGCCAGTGATAATTGAGTGAGGGACATGTGGTTGATTGGTGAGTGAGGGGCCACTGGCAAGTGAGCGATTGGCGTTTGGTAGGGGCGAGTTGGGTGTTTGATAAGCGACTAGTGAGCGTTTGACAAGTTAGATGGGCCATGGATAAGTGAGATGAGCCATGGATAAGTGAGATGAGCCATGGATAAGTGAGATGAGCCATGGATAAGTGAGATGAGCCATGGATAAGTGAGATGAGCCATGGATAAGTGATGGAAAATTGACATGACAGACAGGTGTCTCAAGAATCACCATGTGGCTGAAGCAACACCTTGTCCCACCTGTGGCATCATGGCTCACCGTGTGGCATCATGGCTCAAGCAGCACTGCCAAAGAATGGCTTCTTTGACTGTTGTGTAGGCATCTCGAGAAGCAGCAGCTTTCCCCACCCTCCTTCCCCCTCCCCCCCAACACAGGCCCCAGAGCGAGTTTGAGCAATGGCTCACTGGCTTCGTGGCTGAAGCAGCACTCTGAAATAAGGCTAACTTGAGGGTGCCTTCTCCGCCCTTCCCCCTCCTCCTCCCCGTCCTGTTTCCCACACACTCAGGCCCCAGAGTGAGTTTGAGCAATGGATCACCGTGGCTTCCTGGCTCAAGCAGCACCTCTGAAGAATGGCTTCTTGACTATTGTGTAAAGCTGAGCAAGAAAATTGTTATGGTAATTAGAACCTCAAAAAGTGGCGACACGTGCAAGCCTGAGAAGAAGCATTGTGTGCAGTTTGATGGGCTTGTACAGTAACGGTTTTGAGACGTCTCAAATAACGGTAGGTACCATAGGAACGACGAGATTGTGATGGAATGTCATGCTTTGGCTTGGCCCAAGAAGAGCAGCACTCGAACTACTGGGTTAGACTGCCCTAGAAGCCTACCCATCTACTCACCTCACCTCTATCACCCAACCACCACCATTGGAGAATGCAATGTAGACAAGCTGTAATGAGCTACCATTCACTGGCTTTAATTCTATCTGTAATACACTTGAAAGTTGTCCTACTGTTTGCTACACTTTGCCTTTCTCAAGGTGGTGGTTACCTTGTTACATTACACATCGGACTCAGATTTCTTGTTAGGTGCTAGGCAGGGTACTGTCAGAGACCCTAATGCCTACTGATTCGGCATTGCTAGCTGGCCAACAATCATAGTGAAACTGCTTCTAAGAGCGAAAATCACGTGCAAGATATTGTTGGAGCGCCCGGTCTCTCAACTGATCAGTACTGTAGCATCGCTGGCTGCACTGGCAAACACTCCTAGATCTTTGGCTACTTCTGCTGACAGTTTGGTAACCGCGTTACCAGATTCGACACCATCGCCACCATCAGCACGGCCAATCTCGCTGCAGTCGCCGCCACTGCCACCACCGCTGCTGCTGCCGCTGCTACTGCTGCCGCTGCTGCCGCTACTACTGCTGCCGCTGCTGCTGCTGCCACTGTTACAACTCTTGCTGCCAGTGGTGCTGCCGCCGCCAAAGCCACTACCGCTAAGCACAGTATCTGGTGTGACTATATGGGGGGTGGTCTCGATTATTAGTGGCCCGCCTAACACCTGTGTAACAACCATGGGCCAGCGGGGAACAGAGAGAGCCACAACCTGCAGCAGAATACCGAGGAGCGCTATAAAGAGGGCAAGAATGCTGATGGCGCCTATTGATACACCTCCCCCACTAGTGAAGAAAGAAAATCCGTTAGTAGCAGCACCGGTACTAGCACTGGTGCTGCTGCTGAAACGCCTGGTGGGGTTGCGGGTAAAAAATGGGCTGGTGCGCATAAGGCTGCTGGAATGGATGGTGCTGGTGCTGTAACCGTTGCTGCTCCTGCGGTTTCGAGCAGCTTGCACGCAAGCGAAATGGCGGGCGCAGTTGGGTGGGCAGGCAGAGGAGGAGGAAGAGGTGTTAGGGGTGGTATTAGTGGTGGAAGAAATGAAAAAGGAGTTTACCCAGGAAATGAGCTGCAGTTTCAGCTGATGCTGCTGAATCGAACCGGAACTTCGTGGAATCCAGGAGGGCTGCTTAGTCAGAGACCCATCGCTTCTTCCTCCCCCTCGTCCACCACCCACCATTGCAGTGCCTGCTTGTGTGGCATACTGCTGCTGTGGGCATGGATGCCCTTTCTGCTGCTGCTGTATGTGCTGCTGCAGGCTTGCACTCTCAGACGCACCTATTCCGGTCCCCTCCTTTTCATTAAAGCCCGATGATGCTTCGCTGCGACTGCGGGGTGACTGGGATACCTCCACCCCTCTCAGAGGGGGCGGTGCAAATCTTACCCATGGCCGGTCAGAAAGAAACATTTTGGGAGAAGCGGGGCCGAAGGGGGCAAATGAGTTGACACTAGGAGGGTGTGATTGTAGCGAAGACTGGGAGGAGGAGGAGGGTAAGGAGGGGACGAGGATGGAGGTGGGGGAGGAGAGGGAGGAGTGAGAGGAGGGAGCAGAGGAGGAAGAGGGGAACGGGAAGGAGGAGGAGGAGGAAGAGGAGGAGGTGGTGGTGGTGGTAGTGGTGGTGTTGCTGGGAGGGGAGGGTGTGGCTGATGCTGACGTGGAGGATGGTGATTGGGCGAAAGAAAGGATCCATGGGTGTTGCAGCAATTCCCGGATAGAAGCACGCGTTTGGCGATCTCGGTCCAGCGCTCGTTTTAAGAACGAGATGCAAAGGGGAGACAGCAAGGGTTTCCCGTGAAGCTTTTCCTTTCCTGCTGAAACTGTTGGTTTGAATCCGGGCAGGGTGTCCAGCGGGCAGGTCAAAATGTTTTTGCAGGTCGCTTGCCTGCCCGGCACTTCAAACGGCGGGCGTCCCATCTGCAATTCGTACGCCAAAATCCCGCATGCCCAAACGTCAACCTTTTCATCGTAAGGCAACGCGATTCGGTAGGCCTCTTCCTGACAGATGATTGGCCGATCCATTCCAAGAGGCATGCACGGAGTGGCGTGCTCGCGTCGCGAATCGCCCCCCCCGTCCCCAACCCCACCCCCGCCCCCATCGCCCCCTATTCTCCCGTCCGCTTCCCCCTTTCCCCCGTGCGATTTCCCCACGCCGAAATTCCAGTTCCTTCCACTAGACTGTCGCGAGATCGAGAGCTTTTTCGATTTCTGCCTCAGCAGCTTCGACCCTTGCGCGAAACTCTGACTCTCCGCGGGTTCCGCAGAACTGCCGCGCGCACCACTACCGGCGCCCGCGCTAGCGCCATCCGCGGAAGCAGTCGCAGAAGCAGTCGCGGAAGCGGAAGCGGAAGCGGAAGAAATAGACTGAAGCAGCTCGGGCGCCATGTAATCAAGCGTGCCGACGCGCGCGCCGGGCAAATCGCGCATCGTGCAGATCGCGAGGCCGAAATCCGCGAGTTTCAGTTGCCCGTCCGCGGCGAACAAAATGTTCTCGGGTTTCACGTCGCGATGGATGATCGCGTTCGCGTGCAGAAATCGCAGGATCTGTAACAGCGGCGACATGATTTCGCGAACGACTATCGCCTCCGGCATCTGCCCGCAAAACTCGTTCATAAGCCTCTGGTAAACGTCCCCGCCCGCCGCGAATTCCTCCACGATAACCGTCTGCTTCCGCCTCCGCTTCCCCCGACTCCCCCCACCCACACTCCCCCGCCCATCGCCGCTCTTTCCCCCACTCTTCTCCCCGCTTTTCCCCCCACTTTTCCTCCCGCTTTTTCCCGCGCTTTTCCTCCCGCTCTTCCCGCCACTCTTGCGGAAAATTCCGCCGTGACCTAACCGGTTCTTCCCCTTCCCGCCTCCCCTGCTGTTCGCGTCAATCGCGCTCTCAATCCTGCTCGCATCGTCGACGAAGCTTCCGAGAAAGCCGATCGCGTGCTTGTGGCCGCGCGTCTGGCGCATACACCAGATCTCCCGCTCGACCTGCTTCTGCATCGCAGCCGTCTGATGACGGGCAGAATAAATTTTCAGCACGACCCGCCGGCCGGTCCTGCAGTGCGTCGCGGCGTAAACGGTCGCCCACCGCCCTCGCCCGACCATTTTCAGGTCGGCGAAGTCGGCGACAGAGTTACAGGGCGTTAGCGACCAATCGACAGACTTGAACGATTTACTGTGCGATCGCCGATGCTGCTTGCGCGACGAAGAGGCGGCACCACCGCCAGCGCTATCATCGCCATCACCAGCAGCACCAGAAACACCAGAGCCACCCGCAGCGGACGCATCAGCTTCGCGGTTGCTTCCCGCAGCGCCACCGCCGCCGGAATCACAGTCGTTTTCCGAATCAGGAGTTAACGTGCCGCCGTCAAGTACCCAGCAACGCCGGGGCTCGGCGGGAGACCAGCCGGTAGCGTCCGCCGGCCAACATTGGCGGGCGACACGGCTGAATTGATCACGGCACCGTTGGAGTAATCTTGGCCGTTGATTGTCAGCCGGGGGGTTGCTGTGAGAGTCAGGGAAGCCGCCGCAGGGAAAGAACGGGCGTAAAGAAAGGGAGGGTGAGGGTGAAAGGAAGAAGAGGAGGCGCTAAGGGAAGACGGGAGGTTAGGGGACGAAGGAGGGAAAGGGGGACGAAGGGTGGTTGGAAGACGAAAGGCGGGGAAGGCGGAAAAGGTGCGAAAAGGGGAGAATGAACGGCACGCGGTAACAGGAGGGAGGATGTTGAAGAATCAGTGGTATAAGGGCATCAGACGAATCAAACCTTGCTGAAGCCTTTCTTGGACTTGCGCAGAACTACTAACATTGGTTCGATCTTGTGGTTATTTACCACGCTAGAAAGAAGGGGTCCCATACGGGGGAGAAGGGATGGGAGGGCGCGGGGAGGGGGAGTTGAGGCGCCGCAAGGGCCGGTTCCATACCTGCGGGTGCTGGTTGGTGTTTGGTCTTCGGTAAGGCGAGAATGGCGGCTGAGCCGCGTGTGCGCGCACGCCAATCTGCTTGACATCCATCCCATTCTGATGCTATTTGATGCTACGGGACCTCGACACACACTATGTATACTCCTGTGCGGATGCTCTATCTACATAATAGCCAACCCTGGTATGTGCCAAGTCGATGCGAATGTGCGGTTCGGTGAGATGACAAACCGAATAAGTGCAAGCACAACTGATCGGAACAATAACAAGAAACTAGTAGAGCCCCTTCAAAGCTCTGGTGGCAAAGTATAACGTGCGGGGATCGGAAAAAACTAGCGCAGTAACTATAGGAGGCGAGATTGCCACATACGTCAGCTTCGGGAAGCAATGAGTGCACCTTCCTCGAACGTTAGTATGCGATACGCGGAAAAGGGAATGGGTGGCTGTGAAGAGAAGACTGCTGAAGGAGCAGAGGGGAACGATGAGCCGCTTTGCGGAAATGTAGGGAATCCAAGGAAATGTAGGGTCTGGGTCTGGCAAGAATCTAGATTATTTGACTTCGTGAAGGTATATAGCTGAGTTACGAACGGCACTTTCTCCCGACACAGCACAGCAAAGGCGAACACGACGGTCGCAGGAGTTCGTGAACTGAAGCGAAAGGATCGCATTCATCAAGGAGCATGATGACCCAGTGCATGAAATACAGATGACACGGTGCACCCTCGGCACTTCCTTTCATGGGCTGGACAAATGGCACATGCGTGGCCGTTACTTGGGGTGCGACCCAGAGAAGGGCGCGGCACTGACCTTGTTTGGTTCGAGTGTGCC